GTTCTGAACAAGGGTCTAGCGACGGCGGTTTCCCTCCGGGCATGTCCGGACTCGCTTTCTGCCGTCATTTCTTGCAAATCCTGCTCTTGGGGGTTGACCATCTGGGTCGGTCGTCGTTGGGCGGCGCCGTCCCTCGGTTGGGACGTTGCGTGTGAGCGCGCTTGGTTGTTCACGCCCTGTTGCGGTGGTGCCGCCGGCCTGGCCAGGGTTATGGGCGCCAACGACTGTCCTGGCACGGTTCTCGAGACCCCCGGCATTGTTTGGGCCAGTAGTGTCGAGAAGCCTTTCGCAAACTCTGGGTTCTGCATAAGCGTAGCAAGGTCTGGTATCATGGCCGTATTGGCCCTACCAGTTGAAGGGATTGGACCGTGGCTGTCCCCTCCCCTTGTTGTTTGATCATCTTGTCCTGACTGTGCCATCGTTGTTCGATTTCAAGTCAACGGTTTCAAAGGTAGATGCTGGATCCAAAGATTAACCTCAAGATATCTTATGAGGCCCTCCTTCTAGCGCCAAACTGTTGATAAACGGATTTGATCAACTTTTTATATTTGAACTTTAAGGTTAATGCGGTAATGAGACGATTTTATTGAATAACTAGAGAGTTCTTAAGAAAATATCAAGTCGGTTTTTCAAGGACTTGAGGTCGGTTTTTTACAGTGCAATGATGTTAAAGCTGGCGAGAGCCGAGGTGATTAATGCGGAATTAATGTGTCGGAAAAAGATCCTCGTATTGCCTTTATTGCTGCTATTTATAGTAACTGGGGGCTCGTCTTTTGAGGAGATTCGGCAGCATTTAATACGGAATGACATCTGCGCAGCGTTTCTGTCAGTGGGCCCCCTTCATGCAATGATGTCTCCACATGGGCTTTGAATAGTCGATGGACAAGCATTAAATGCTGCCTGTCGGCTCCGACGTCGGCCTGTTTCCGGGGTTGCTTTGTTCAAGAGGTCGGTATCCAGACAAGGTCGGCTTCCACAGGTCGGGTAACATTTTCTCTGCACTCCTCGGCTTGGCCCCTTTATTTTCTCGTCGTCCACGTGTTTGTCCATCCAACGCCTGAGTGAATTTTTACGTCAACAGTTGTGCTGAGACTGGCACTTTCGAGATTGAGACTTTCACCCACCTTTTTCTTGAGAGTGAGACTGTGAGGAGAGTGTAAGAGCACTATTCCAGATATATACATATACCCCTACCCACTACAGATAGTTTCTTTGAGGTCCTGAATTTTTTCTCACACCGCACACACAGTAGACACGTGGGCTTCCTTATTCCTTGTCTGATCTTGTGGTCCACCTGGACATAAAGGAATAACGCGAAGCATAGGGATATTATATTTTCTTGCTCTCACATTATTTTACAGGTTGTCAGACACCTCTCTCTCCTCACTGCCCTTGGCAGACTCACGACGAGAGACTGGACATGTTGTACGCCGCCCCATTGCTTGAGGCCACCATCCCCTCCACCTGTCCAGCACCCACGACCCAGGACTGTTGTTTGGTTGAAACCCAAGCCTCCTTGGGTTAAGGTAAACACTGATGGCGCATTCGACGAACATACCAGAGCTGTTGGATGAGGGGACCTGATTAGGGACCACGATGGGGCGCTCATCATTGCCTTCCATGGCCCACTCCGGGCCTCCTCGAACTATGATACAGAGATTTAGGCGCTTCAGATAGGTCTTCAGATTGCCGCCTCGATCTCCTCACATGTTTGGATAGAGATGGATGTTGCAGCTGTCATCACACTTTTGACATCTGGCCACCAGGGCTCATGGCAGATCCAGTATCCACATATGCGCATCAGAGACACCCTCCGCTCGATCCACTACCAGGTCCCGCACATATTCCGAGAAGAGAACTGCCCCGTTGATTTCCTTGCTCGCACCGGAGCATCTATACCTCAGAGGATTTCTTTGCTCGCACCGGAGCATCTATACCTCAGAGGCGCACCCTCCACCCCGGCGACATTCCCCTCCGACTTTGGACCCTCATTCGGTGGACCAGTTGGAGTACCCATCCTTCAAATTTGGACAGCCGCCACCACTTGAACCTACATAGACTTGATGTTTTGGACTTTACACCTGGCCATATGGCCAGGCCGCTTTCTCATATGGATTTGCCTTGACTTCACATTGGACATTCTACGACTCTTGTATTTTTTGTTTTGTCGATGTTTTTATGTGATGTAGAACATTGACTTATTAGTCCTCTCAGGGCCATTATATTCACAGGTTGGAG